ACCCAGGATTTAAGTGCATATAACATCATATTATTGTTTACCCTTCCCTCAAAGACCAGTGATTTGAACATATCTTACAATAAAGAAAATATTCAACTTAAAGAAAAAAAATTAGGAAAAATGCCTCTCTCAGGCAACAAGGTTTGAGATACAGACTACCTTTGAAGTTACCTTAAAAAAAAAAAAAAATCACTGACTACTCCCCACTTCTCAAAATTCTGAAGGGCACTAGCAATATGACTAAATGCTTAAGGAAGAAGAGTTACACCTATCAAGTCCAACATTTGTACCGACTAGTTTCTTTGATACGTTTTATGCATTTTCAAACAAAATAACTGCTTATAACTTCCTTAAACTACAAGCCTAGGCCCCAAGCCTGCAGGCAGACTGCTGAGCCCAGCCTCTGAAACCGTGCAATTTATAGTGCATAGGTGGTACAATCAGGGCCCGAACGCAGAGATTTCATACATTCTACATCTTCAAAGCAAGGACACAATTGGACACAGCTTTAAAAATCTACCCCACAGAGGTAAGTGGAAAGCTGTCTCTAGCTGTCTAGCCAGGGGATAGTGAGCTTAAAGTCATCAATTTCTGTAAAAACTAAGTTTTTGTTTTTTAATAAGTTCTTATTTCGCACATGATTGCAAAGATAGCCCAGATGCTAAAAGAATGAGAACTGATTCCATGTTTTCATGAGCCTGCGGACAGGCAACTCCTGAACCTCTGCTGATGTTCATAGTAGCATCAGAGTATATCAAGAAGAAACTGGAAGTTTTAATGTGTAACATTTGAGCAGAAATAAAACTCAAATCAGGTCAATTCAAGCTGCTGCTGCTTCAGAAAACTACCTGCAATTGCATACATAAAAGAGTAATTCATGGCAGTGAAGAATTTTGCAGATTGCATGGAGGACTTGCTCCCAACCCAAATCCACACAGTAGAAAGAAGGTTCCAAGAGATGGATGAAGTACTAGAAACCCTCCCCCGCATACACTGAAGAAGCTCTAAGGAAAAGTGAAAGGGAAGAGACTGTTTCTTCTTTCCAGCAGCTAGAGGGGAGCTGAGCAGTAACTTTCACCCACATTTTATCAGAAGCTGCTGTGACAGAGTGGCTCAGGGACAGCAACCTCTCAAAAGCTGTGTGTGACAATTCATGGACATCACTTGTAAAGTCCCCACCCTCCTCTTTCATATCTACCTCTGGCTCACAGTCACCTGTTTTTTCAAGTGTGTCTATTAATTTTGAGATACCAATAGTTCAGAAACTGGTTCAGAAACTGGTATGGAAGAGACCTTTTTTCCTTTTGTACCATCCTCTATCAAAGTATTTGAATCTGAAGTCATTCTTGAAACTTTAAAGCTTCACAATCAAGCTGAAATTTGTATGTTGACTGTACAATTTTGTATTGTGTTCTTATAAATTTAAACAATCTATACAAGTAACTAGATTACTGAAAATCTGTAATATCCATCACGACCTTGTTTAAAAGGTTTTTTTAAATTGCTGATTAACTTCAGTAGACAAAAGAGATCTAATTTATGTTGTCAATCCCGTATCAGAAACTTTATGCACAGATCCTGCTGTTTCCTAATTTTTGGTTCCTAGCTACTCCTTATAACAAGGCATCCTGGGATTCTACTTTCACTGCTTTCTTACCACTGACCCCCTAAAGTTATCTTCTGTTCAGACTTGTCTGATTACATCTGTTGTACTTACCAGTATGTTGAAAATCTTGGCCCATGAACACTAAATTCTTCAAGTGTGTTCCACCAGATGAGACAACGGCTTTTACTCAAATTTGTTTTTACGTTACCTCTATTAAATAATTGACAAGTTTCCCCTCTATTCTCATTTTATTTCCAGAATATTTGTGTGTTGGTTTAATCCACTTTTCCTTTCTAAACTAAACCCTGAAGCAAAATTAAATACTGAAGTTGAAAGATGGCATTCTAAAGGTCCAAAAATAAGTGAACACAACTGATATTAATAATGAAGGATATCTGATAAGATACACATGCAAATATAAAAACAGCACAAGATTCATGAAGTTTCTCTCTTACATACTTTGGTTTATAAAAAAAAAATGTGGTCTCTTCTAACTGGGTGGCATTTTACATTTCCAACTGTAATTGAGTGAACATGTTGCCATGGTAACAATGGAATTGTGCAATAATTTTGGTGCCTTGTAATTGCTGGATATTTGTATACAAGCAGCTGAGCTTTCTTAATTCAGTGCCCCCTCAAATCTTTCAGGCAGACTCTGGAGCTACAACAGTATCTTTTAATGTGAAAACTCAAACAATTTCTGGTCCTTCAGCCACTATTAGAATTCAAATCAATGACAGGTCACATTACAAAAAAGAAATCCTGTCAAGAATCAGGCTTCAGGCTACTTAAATTTTTGTGTTCCTTAGCTATTTAAAAATATTGCCCTTTTTAAGAAATCTTATTAAGCTAGATAACTTCAGGTAACTTTTGGCTGCAACAGAAAGCACTAACAGTAGTGAACACCATACAAGTCACTTTTATTGATGCTATGTAACAGCAGTAAATCCAGATGTACTCTGACACCTTCCTTCAAGAAAGGTGAAACTCACCTTAGGTACAGAGTGCAAATACAAGACTCTCTACATGACTTAAATCTCGCATTGGGGCTATGCAGAAAGTAAAATACAGGCATCTCTACACTAGCCCAAATAGACAGATGTGGATGAGGTGAAACCAGAGGATCCATACTGTGATGAGTGACCCCAATACACAGCTACTACGTTCTGGGTGCCCTGATTCCAGGTTGGTGGATGACTTTCACCTGCCCAGTCCACCCACACTTCTCTCACAGACCGCTCAGCTACTTGTGAAATAAAACTTCCATAAATTCCCCCCTAAAATATTAGGCAAATCTATAGTAAATGAATGTCAACATTTTGAAAGTGACAACTCTAATGTATGCAAAGCTTTATATGAAAGTTGTCACAGCAAATCTAATGACAAACTGAAAAAACCTTCAGTGTCATGCAAATACGTACATAAGCCACTTAATAGCATTACATGTACTTCGAAGAAACGAATGGATCAGTTTTACCTCCCCTCCAAATGGTATGAGGTGTCTTGGTATAATATTAAATAATCATCATGTAATAAAAGTGAGTTTGCTTAAGAGGTCATGCTGCACTTACAATGCCACACACACACAAATCAAACGATTAAAGAAACTCAAGTATTGCACACAGCATTTTTCCTGATAAATTCCTGCAGCATAAACCCACACACAACAGTTCAGTAACACCTCTCTTCCCATTGCTCCCAATACATTATAATTAATTTTTTTAAACTATGACATGAACATTGTTGCACAAACCAACATTTCATACAGTAAAACTCCCTTTTAAACACACAGCAAGTCAGGGGGAAAAGGGAACAAGGCACAGTGCGGGGGTAGGCTAGAATGTTACCCATAAGTTTCATTTGATACTGTCATTGTGTGTTATATATTAACAGCCTAAAAGTAATCATGAAAATTTGTTACACAAAACAATCTACTGTCCACTCGTTCCATAAGAAGACAGAATTATTTTGTTTGCCAATCAATAAGTATCTATTTGGCTCACATAAGTGGACAAGCAAAATTTTGTAATGCTGATTTACTAGTATCTCAACCAAGGTAATAAAATACAAGTTATAAAAACTATCATAAGCATGAAATGCACAAGACTCCCACATAAGTCCACAGACACTTTACATAAGATACATTTTATTTACTAAAAAGATCAAAACAGCTACTTTGAATGGGTCAGCATTAGATAAAGTCACTTTTGACTAATGCATGCATGTACGTATAGCCTGGACTATCATCATATTAGCACAGACACATGTGCAGAAGGGGCAATAGGGGACAATAATCATATTTTTAAAAACTTTTACAAGAACACAGGCCACTCACTGCAAAGCTTTGTTTTGTGTCATCTCCCAAATACTGGAATTATAACTAAGCATTCAAAACAGTAATCACTTACAGTTTAAAGAGCTATCTGCACCTCTTTATCCCAGCAGTCTCCTTTATGTTTTATTTCAGGGCTACGAATAATTCAACTACGAAAATTCCCATTTTATCTAAGGGTTTATTTCCTAAAGTTAATATATACATAGTACTATCCTATGTATCAGAATTTTTTAATGAATTGTCACTCATAATTTAAAGGGCAAATTTGGGGGTGGGGAGGGCTAACTGCTTTAAAAAACAGAATTGTAAACAGCTTAATCAATTTGCAAGTGAGCTCAACCCTTCTAATTCCAGAACCCCCCACCCATACCCCTGCCCCTTCACAGAACATGTCTTCACTATTAACTTGGTGAGACAGACACGCCTCTGCACAGGGAAGGGAGGGAGATATTTGGGCAGTAGGAGGGATGGGGGATGTGAGCACACCCAAATCCTCACTGCCTCCATCTGCAAGGGTCACCCTGCTGCAGGGACAGATTCCCGCACACACCCCAGTGCCTGTGACAGCCTGTCAGCCCCCCAACGCGCACACAGCGCTGGACGGACAGCCAGACACCCAGCGACCCTACACACACAGCGCAGCTGTTGGGCAACACACACAGCGACCGCCAGACAGACAGACAGACACGCACTGGGGCTGCTGGATACACAGACAGGCAGACACAGCTCCCTTCTTACACACCCAGTGACTGCCAGACAGACACAACCCCTTCCCGGCCCCGGCCCCCACACCCAGTGACTGCCAGACAGACACAACCCCGTCCCGGCCCCGTGTCCCACACGGCCCCACACCCAGTGACTGCCAGACAGACACAACCCCGTCCCGGCCCCGTGTCCCACACGGCCCCACACCCAGTGACTGCCAGGCAGACACACGGCCGGACGCGGCCACACAAACGGCAGGAGGCTGCCGGCCAGAGAGAGCCAGCCCCGCCCCGCCCCCTGCCCTGCGGGCGGCTCTCGGGCCACGGCCCCCGGCGCCTCGGCCGCTCCACTCACCCCGGCCGCATCGCTCCCGGCCGAGCCCCGCTCAGCAGCGAGGCGGCAGCAGCGCTGCTCACTGGGTGGGGGGGAGGGCAGGGGGAGGAGAAGGTGGAGCCGCAGAGACCCGGAGGGGGCGGGACGTTTCACAGCCCCGGCCCCACCCGGCTCATTCACAAAAACCCAAGGCACGCCGAACCGCCGGAGAGCGGAGCCCGCAGGCCCCGCGCTGAATGGCCCCGTCAGGGGTCAGTCACCTCACGACCCGCCCCCGACTCCACCTCGTCCTCCCCTATTGGTGAGCGGACGGAGCCCCGCCCTCTCATCGCTGCTGCCTAATCACAGTGCAGCGTGAGCCTTCAAGCGGCTCAAACGCACCCGCCACTACAGCGGAGACGCCCCCCATTGGTGCTTCGACCTGCCCATCAACCTCCTGCCCGGAACCCTCCGCGTTCTCCACTCAGACCCGAGAAAAATCGCCCTGCGCGACCCATCCCTTTAAAGACCCAGCGGTCGGGAGCGGCCTCAGCAGAATTAAAAGCCGGAGGACAAAAATACCCGCAGCCTTAAAGGGACCGCACAGCGCCTGCCTCCGTATAGATGCGGGCACACGTTGCGCGGATCGGGGGAGCCTGGGTACTGACCTGTGCGGCGGCAGCAGACGCTCGGGGCGGCGGCAAGGCACGGGGAAGGCCAGGCGCTGGGGGAACACAGCGGCGCGCGCGCCACCAACGGAATCAGCCTGTGATGGGATCCGCCATTTTGGAATTTTAGATGGAAAGTCACATGGTGCGACCATTTTTTCCCTCCGCCAATCAGCAAGCGGCAGCTATTTTTAGCACAATTCCCTGCTCCATGGAGGAGGTGCGATGGGGGGGAGCCGGGGGCGGGAGTGAGGCGGTGGGGGGCCTGTGAGCAGGGCCGGCTCTAGGCACCAGCAAAGCATGTGCTTGGGGCGGCGTTCCAGCCCGCCTGTCTTTTGCCTTTGGCTTGGGCCCTGGTGCTCTCGGAGCTTGGGGCAGCAAAAAACCTAGAGCTGGCCCTGCCTGCGAGCCGAGCCGTGGTGGAGAGCAGTGGGATAGGGCGGCGGGAGCCGTGGGGAGGGGGTGCAGGAGCGATGGGGTGCAACGTGGAGCAGGGACCTGAGGGGGTTGTGGGAACGATGGGGTGCAATGTGGGGCAGGAACCTGGGGGATGGGGGGAGGGATGGGTGCAATGTAGGGCAGGGAGCTGTGGGAGGGAAGGGGCGGTAATAGTGGGGTGCAGGATGGATGGGGCAGCGGGAGCAGGGAGCCCTGGGGAGTGGGGGGTGCAAGAGATATGTGGCAGCCGAAGATGGGAGCTGTGGGGGGGGTGCAGGGAGCTGGGGGGGGGTGCAGGAGCAGGGAGCCGCGGGGGTCGATGTGTGGGGGGGGTGAGGGGAAGCAGGGAGCCGTGTGGGGTGATGCAAAGGGTAGAGTGCAAGCAGGGGCAGGGAGCTGTGAGGGGCAATGCAGATGTGGGGTAAGGGGAAGCAGGGAGCCACGGTGTGCTGGAGGGGTGATGGAGTCATGTGGGTGGCGATGGGGGGGACGCTAAACTGACTAACCCCCATTCTCTGCACTGCACCCCTGACCCCAAACAGAGTGGCCCCAGCTGAAGTACTGTCTGCCATAGGCCACACAGCCCTTTCTCAAACCCATGGCCCCTTTAACTAGTGGCTGACCCAAACCCAACACAGGGTGTTCCAGACCATCGCAGCCCAAATTATCTTAGGAGTCAGGGAGAGTGGCCCTTTCCCTCACACGTCTCCTGGATGTGACTAGCTGGACAACCTCTCCCATCTGCAGGAGGCTTTCAAAGGTGGACACAGCTCCTCAGTCCTCCAAGGAATGTGTATGAGTATTGCTGACTCTAAGGGTTCACAGATCATGAGCCAAGCCCTCCAAAATCAACATTTTAAAAAAAAAAAATGTTTAGTCATTTTATGTACCTTCTGATTTCATGTCTTCAGAGTTTACACTTTCAAGCTTGTCTCTACAACCACAAGGGCTTGAAACATACTCTTTCTTTAAATGAAAGCTGAGATTGTCACATGCATCACATGACTCCAGGAGCTGAGGCTTTAAGAAAAACACCAAATATCATGACTCTTGATATCATTGCAAGAATCGGCAATGCTGTGGCAAAGTCATTACTTTTGTTCCGCTGGAGCTCAGGCAGAGCTTGGAAGGATTTTTTGGCAGGATTCTCTTCATAAAAGCAGGGAATCCCTAAAAACAGATAAACTCCACCCACTTGGGTGGGATTTCCCCTGTGCAAAGGAAGACCTGCCTAATTTGGTTTGGCTTCCACTAAGCACAAAGAGCCAGATCCACAAATGTATTTAGGAGGAAGTCAATGAAAGTTAGGAACCTAAATACAATTATTGATCTGGGCCAAAGAAACTTTGTCCACTAGGAGTGGGGTTTTCTCTAGGCAAGGGAAACCCCACCGAATGGTATTAGGGCTTCCCCCTGAAGCACAGGGAAATCCTGTCCAGTAAGGATTGTGTCCCCCCATAGGAATGAAAAGACAGTCTATCTAGCTTCCCCATGTTCAATCTCAAGCTGTGGCTCATGAGCCGCTTACAGCTCTTTTACAGTTCATGGAGCCCACCCCCAGCCCCGTCTCCCCCACCATTCTCCATCTACCAGACTGGGCAGGGTGGGGGAGCTTGGGGCTTCTGCCCTACAGTGGAGTGGTGGGACTAGGGGATTCTGCCCTGCAGTGAGGGGGGAGATCTAAGGGCTTTAACCCCAAGGCCCGGAAGGCGCTACCCAGTGGGGCAGGTTGTGCACGTCTTGTGGCTCTTGAGCTTCTGAAAATTCAAACATTCAAAAGCCAGTCAGAGAACACTTCAACCTCCCTGGACACTCAATTACAGACTTAAAAGTGGCAATTCTTCACCACAAATCTTCAAAAACAGACTCCAGCAAGAAACTGCAGAACTGGAATTAATTTGCAAACTGGATACCATCAAATTAGGCCTGAATAAAGACTGGGAGTGGATGGGTCGTTACACAAACTAAAAACTATTTCCCCTTGCTAATTTTTTCCCCTACTGTTACTCATATCTTGTCAAGTGTTTGAAATGGGCCACCCTGATTACCACACAAAAGTGATTTTTCCTCTTGCTGATAATAGCCCACTTTAATTGAATTGTCTCGTTAGAATTGATAAGGCAACCCCCATCTTTTCATGTACTCTGTATATATATCTTCCTACTGTATTTTCCACTCCATGCATCCGATGAAGTGGGTTTTAGCCCACGAAAGCTTATGCCCAAATAAATTTCTTAGTCTCTAAGGTGGCGCAAGTATTCCTCGTTTTGTTTTGTTTTTAAATTATTGTATGCAGGTTGAAGGGTCAGTAAGTTTGGCCACTCCTGTTCTATCTATTCAAAGCAGGGGCTGAGCTCCTTTTCCCCTAAGCTTACACAGGAGGTCTTTCGGCAGACTCTTTCCCTCCTCCACCCCCCAATGTACTTCCATTCACTGGTGGATGGGAGGAAATGCATGTGTGTGGAATAAACATAGCAAGGGCTTTGGATGACTTCACATCGGTTGCAGAGGGGATAAGGATGAGGGGAGACTGGGGCATGATGCTGAGTAGGCGCATGTGGAATGTGAGTGGGTGTGAAGTGGGGGTATAAATGACAGTAAAGGGGGTTGAAGTTGGTGCACTGGAGCCAGAAGACCCTTAGGGCTTGTCTACACTGGCGTTTTATAGTGCAGCAACTTTCTCGCTTAGGGGTGTGAAAAAACACACCCCTGAGCGCAGCAAATTTCAGCGCTGTAAAACGCCAGTGTAAACGGTGCCCCAGCACTGGGAGCCGCACTCCCAGCGCTGGGAGCTACGCCTCTCGTGGAGGTAGTTTTTTTTAGAATGCTGGTAGAGCTGTCTCCTTGCGCTCTGCCGTGACTACACAAACCGTGTTAAAGCACTGCCAAGCATTGCCAGTGTAGACTAGCCCTTAGCTTGGAAAGCACAGGGAGCAGTCTCTCCTCCCCTCCACACATTCACATGCTGATTCTGACTGAGTGTGGGAATGGTGATTGTGCTTTCCCTTTGAATGTCTTCTGACCCATTGCCACATGTTGCATCTTTTCTCAGCACCAGGAGCTTGTGTCTATTCACTTCCCCTTTTCCCCACTGACTGAAACTGCTCTCACTAGATGACAATAAGAGCGAGAAGCCAAGGAGAGGAGCTGCAGAAGCAGGGAGAAGAGAAGACTGCAGGGCAAAACATTGTCCATGTTCTCTAGTAGTGCTTTTAGTAGAAGCTGCCTGGTACCCTGCAGCTCTCATCAGGGCTGCCTCACAGGTGCACCATGCCCTCTACTACCTGCACTTTCTCCCAATGTTTCCATCTGCTTCAAACTCCTGAGTTTTTGTGGGAAAGTTTCTTTCATATCCTCCCAGACAAACCTGCCTTTGGGGAGATGACACGGAACATTGCAGGTTCTGTTCTGATACAAACATCAAAGCACCAGCTCCAGCCCTTTTCCCCCAAGGAAGTGGAAATAAGGTGTGGAAAAGTTTAAATTTGGATCAAATTTGGATATTAAAATACAAGCCCAAAAAAAGAACCAAGCACCAATGGATAGACTACTATAGCTAATTTTTACCGTGTTTTACACACTGAATTTCTTTAAAAAAATAAAACTTCTTGTTTCTATTCCAATTTTAACAAAAATTAGGAATAAGACAAGCTATAGAAGATTGTCATACTATATATGACACATATATATTTAGCCAGTGCAGGTAATGTAAATTTCAGCAAATCTGAAATTACTGATTTTTGATTGTTAGAATAATGGGGGAAAGAAAATGAAAATATTTGGACATATACTACCTGTTCAATTATTAGCAGACAATCAGACTGTTAATTCTTTCTGAAGAATTGTCTATATAGGATCCTGCTCTTGAGATGCACTCACCCTTCTGTTTTGCAGCTAGTATAGTCTGTAAAAGGGCTGTCATGCACACCTCATGGTATCAAACATCCACTAGAGGGTATAAAAGAGACCCTTATGTGAATTGCCATAAGTAGCAATCAGTAGTCCTCTGTGCCCCTTTTGTTTACCTCCATAC